ACCCACCTCAGCCTCCCAAAGTGCTGGGATTACAGGCGTGAGCCACCACTCCTGGCCCTCTTTTAGTCATTTTAAAATATACAATTAAATTATTATTGACTATAGACACCCAATAAATTTACTAATTTTTGAGACTCCAAACTTCATTGAGTAATAACTTAATTAAAATTTCCAAATTCTTTGAACAGTGCCTGAGTACCTAAGAATAAATATCAGTCATTCATTAAGAATAAAAATTAAAAAGTCAGCATCTCATCTCTTGGATCATCAGTGAGGTAATCAAATGACTCTTCTTTAAAATAACGTCTATATTGAGATGAGTATAGTTATACTTAAGTAAGATATTCTAATAAAAATATCAGAATTATACTTGATTATAAATTTGAAAAGTCAGAATTATACTTGATTATAAATCTATGAGATTGGGAATATGTCTTTTTATAAAAGAATTAATGTTTGATTTGCATCTGTGTTGAAAACTTAGACTGCTCAATAAGAATTTTTTACTGAATCAATAAATTAATCAATCAATAAAACTAAACAGACAAACAAAATTATTCCTCAGAAATTTTGTTGTTGGACCATTAAAATGCATTATGGAATTTTTGAAAGTTGGGGGGAGAGGGAGACAGTAAACATAACCTATATTTTCTCTTGTCTTTTTCTTAACTCTAGGAAAACCCAAATAGCTCAAATTTTGAGCTATTTCATAACCTACCAGACTTATCATGCTAACACTGAATAAAACAGACCTAATACCAGCTTCATTTATTCTGAATGGAGTCCCAGGACTGGAAGACACACAACTCTGGATTTCCTTCCCATTCTGCTCTATGTATGTTGTGGCTATGATAGGGAATTGTGGACTCCTCTTCCTCATTCGCTATGAGGATGCCCTGCACAAACCCATGTACTACTTCTTGGCCATGCTTTCCTTTACTGACCTTGTTATGTGCTCTAGTACAATCCCTAAAGCCCTCTGCATCTTCTGGTTTCATCTCAAGGACATTGGATTTGATGAATGCCTTGTCCAGATGTTCTTCATCCACACCTTCACAGGGATGGAGTCTGGGGTGCTTATGCTTATGGCCCTGGATCGCTATGTGGCCATCTGCTATCCCTTACGCTATTCAACTATCCTCGCAAATCCTGTCATTGCGAAGGTTGGGCTTGCTACCTTTCTGAGAGGGGTACTACTCATTATTCCCTTTACTTTCCTCACCAAGCGCTTGCCCTACTGCAGAGGCAATATACTTCCCCATACCTACTGTGACCACATGTCTGTAGCCAAATTGTCCTGTGGTAATGTCAAGGTCAATGCCATCTATGGTCTGATGGTTGCCCTTCTGATTGGGGGCTTTGACATACTGTGTATCACAGTCTCTTATACCATGATTCTCCGGGTGGTGATCAGCCTCTCCTCAGCAGATGCTCGGCAGAAGGCCTTTAATACCTGCACTGCCCACATTTGTGCCATTGTTTTCTCCTATACTCCAGCTTTCTTCTCCTTCTTTTCCCACCGCTTTGGAGAACACACAATCCCCCCTTCTTGCCACATCATTGTAGCTAATATTTATCTGCTCCTACCACCCACTATGAACCCTATTGTCTATGGGGTGAAAACCAAACAGATACGAGACTGTGTCATAAGGATCCTTTCAGGTTCTAAGGATGCCAAATCTTATAGCATGTGAATGAACACTTGCCAGGAGTGAGAAGAGAAGGAAAGAATTACTTCTATTTGCCTCATGCAGGAGCTGATAAAATCTTTCTGGAAGTACTGTATTGATCACAAAACGGAGTGCATTCTCAGTAAGTACCTTGGGAATCTCAACATCACTGGAAGGCCCACCAACATTTCTGTATATTTTATACCTTCTCAGTCATGTGAAGGACCAGTTTAATAATTAAACCATATTTTATTTGACATAACATGATGAGTCCATTTTTTATGAAAAGAAAAATCTAAGTAGAAGGAGATGATGTGAGTCCTCTTTTCAATGATCACGATTTTCAGATTAATAGGCAGTTATTACTTTTGTCTGGAAAACATGTGCTATATATTTCTCATAACTACCAAAAACCCATTTCTTCAATGACATTTTCCTGAAGGAGAAACTAGAGTGTATCCCATAAAGTCATTACTATAATGAGTTTTAAGTCTCTAAGCATCTAACTAAATTAATATTAGGCTACTGAATAGGTCACATAATTATTTCACAACAGAATAATTGGATATTTCATTTTCTTTAAAGGGGCTTTAAAAAAAGCAGAGTCTGGAAAGAGAGGTAGAGCTCTTAACCAAAAATAAAAAACAGTATAATTTTTTTTCTAAGACCTGTATGAAAGAGGATCAAAATATACTTGTTTCATTTTATCTCTAATTGTGAATCTAGTAAGGAAAATTAGGTATATATTTCTAATAGTTAAGATTTATCTAAATTAGAAAATAAGTGAGAAACTATAAAACACAGTACTTTCATATTAATGTCTCATAAACTAAGCCAATTATATAAGGAGTATAAACTCAACTTTTACTGTTATTTTTCTATGTCCAACTGACAAGAAGACATGTACTTCCCTGAAATTTAGTTACCTATGGTCATCAAATTGCATTTATTCATTTAGTGAATCCTTCTTGACTATCTTGCATTTTACAAGCTGGCCAAACAGCAGCACCCTCTAAAATATAATTATCCTCCATGTGTCACCCTATTTCAGTATTTGCTATATCCTAAAGCTAAAAGTTGTCAATATTCTCTTTACTTCCTCTCCTCAACCTGACATCACTCTTCTCCTAGTTTTTCTTTCTCTTATCCCAGTTGTTATCTGAAATTGCTATTGTCAACTTCACCAATGCTTTTCCATGTTAACAAACTAAACCTCCTGCTTTGTTCATCTCACACTCTCTCTCAGGAATATTGATTTCAGTTCAGTATTTCCAATATCTTAAAACACTATATTAGTTTTACTTACTTCAGAGACACTACATATTTCATTTATGCAATACACTTTGTTTAACTTTGATTTGTTTTCTACATTCTCTTCCTAGGTGTTCTCCTTTAGTGTCATGGTCTTAAGCATTCGTTATAAAACTAATGATTCCCCAAAGGAAGCTAAGGTTCAGAAACGGTTTTCTACATACTTATTCTTCATGGCACATTATCTTACTTAGACAGGTCAATATCTCCTTTTTCCCTCTGTGTTCTCCAACTCTACTCCAATTTTCCATCTCCTGCTCCTTCAGTTTATCTCCCAGTGATTTTGGCATAACTTTTTGTATATTTAGTTTCCTTAAAAATAGATGTTATTATTCAGTGATTTAATGTGTTTTAATTTAAATACATTTTATTATGCTAAACAACTTAATCTGCTAATTTCTCACTCAATACTTTAAGATGTATTTATCTTAAATATTTATCTTGGAACATGTATTTATATTTTACACTTGTCAATTTAATGTATATTACTTATTTCAAGATTGTTAAGTTGGCTAGATATGGTTTTGATAAAAAATTTGCATCTACTAACTTCACAACACACAAAAATCACTTGTGCTTCCATACACTATCCTTGAACAATGTGAAATGGAAATTAAGAAAACAATCTCTTTTACAGTAATAATATCACGAATATAACACTTTGGAATAAATTTAACCAAAAAGGCAAAAATTTATGCACTGAAAACTACAAAACTTTTTTTTTTTTTTGGAAGATGCAAATAAATGGAAAGGTATTTTATGTTCACATTTTAGAAGACTTGCCACTGGTAAAATTTTCATACTGCATGAGGTAACTATGAACTTAGTGCAATCCTTATTTAATTCCCAAAGAAAATTTTTATAGAAATAAAAAAGCAGTGCTAATATTCATGTGGCACCACAAAGGACTATAAATAACTGAAACAATCTTGAGAAAGAACAAAGTTGAAGGCCTCACACCTCATTATTTAAACATATATTATAAAGCCACAACAATTAAAACACTATGTATAAATAAGTATAATAAACTAAAACAGTACAGTATTAAGATACATAGACCAATGGAATAGAGAGCTCAGTAATAAACCCATGCACATATGGTTAATGGGTGTTCAACAAGGGTGGCAAGAAAACACAATGGGGAAAGACAGTCTCTTCGACAAATGAATTTGGGAAAACTGAATATCCATATGCAAAAGAATGAAATTGGACTCTTATCTTACACCACATACAAAAATAGATTCAAAGTGGACCAAAGACTTAAACAAAAGAATTAAAACCACAAAACCCCTAGAAGAAAACAAAATAGAAATATTTCATAACATTGGTCTTGGCTATGATTTCTTAGTTATGACATTAAAAACACAAGGAAAAATAGCAAAAATAGGCAAATGGGACTATATCAATCTGAAAAGCTTTTGTACAGCAAAGAAAACAATCAATAGAGTAAAACAGCAACTTACAGAATGGGAAATAATATTTGCAAATCATATATCTGATAAGAGATTAAAATCTAAAACATATAAAGAACTTCTACAAATCAATAAAAAAAAGAAAGAAAAAAGAAAATGATTAAAAAATGACAAAATGACTTGAGTGACATTTCTCCAAGGATGTAATTCAAATGGCCAACAGGTATATGAAAAAATGTCCAACGTCACTAAACATCAGGGAAATGCAGCTCAAAACCACAATGAGATATTACCCTTAAGATGGCTATTATCAAAGTAGCAAAACCTAAGATGTGTCGGCAAGGATGTTGTAAAAAGGGAATCATTATGATAATGTAAAATGATGAAGCTTCTGTGGAAAACAGTCTGGAGTTTCCTCAAAAGATTAAAGGTAAAACTACCAAATGATCCAGGCTCCCCACTTCTGGCTATTTGCCTGAAAGAATTGAAAGTAGGATCTAGAAAAGATGCTTTCATTCCTACTTTCATTGCAGCAATATTCACAGTAGCCAAGATGTAGAAGAAACCTAAATGTCCACTAATGGATGAATGGTGAAAGATAATGTGTTATATATATATATTCACTTGAATATTATTTAACAATAAGATGAGGAAATCTTGTCATAAGCTACAAAATAGATGAATTCTCCAAACATTATACTAAGTGACATAAGCTATTCACAGAAGGATAAATACCACATATTTTCCCTTAGATGAAATATCTAAATTTATCAAACTCATAAAAGCGAAGGTAAAATGGTGGTTACCAAGGGCTGGAGAAAGCAAGAATGCAGAGTTGCTGTTCAGTGGATATAAAGCTTCAGTAATGCAAGATAAAAAGTTTTAGGGATTTTCTATACAATAGTTTGCTTATAGTTAACAATACTGTACAGTCAAAAATGTTAAGACAGATCTCATGGGTTTTTAAAATCACATTTAAAAAGATTGTTGAATGATATATTAGAAATACTGAAAGAATAAAATACGTACTCATTCACTGAGGCTTTTATATCCAGCCAAACAGTTCTTCAAAAAAAAAAAAAAAAAAAAAAAAAAAAAAGATGAAATAAAGACAATATCCCCCCAAAATATCAAAATACTAAGAAAATAATTGTTATATTCCTGCTCTAAGAAATAATAAAGAAAAACCCTCAAGCTAAATAAAATATATCAAATGCAAACTTAAATACACAGAAAAAGTAAAAATAACTACAAATGGTAAATATGAAATTAAAGACTGCATTTATATATTTACTAAGATATTACCAGATGAAGGCAACTGGAGAGTTTTTTTGTTTTTCACCAGCATATCTACTCTAAACAATGGCCAAAGGAAATTCTCCAAAGACAAAAAAAAGCAGAAAAGAAGAAATGTTGAGGCATCAGGAAAACAGAAAGAACCTAGTAGGCAAACAATGTGTACAAAAACGATAGTCTCTTTCTCATCTTGAGTCATCTAAATTGTTTAACGGTTGAAGAAATATTGTGTTTGATATAGTTTTAAATGTATTTAAGAAAATTGTATTCTAAATGGGAAGGGGTAAAATATATAATGAGAACTAAGATTTCTACACTTGAATGAATAAAATGATGGCACTAGTAGACTGTGATGGGTTGTGTATATATAATATACTATATAGAGTAACCACTAATAAAGCTATGCAAGCAGATGACCTTCAAATGTATATGTAGATCCAAACAGAATTCAAAAAAATTTCTATAAACCACAGTAAGCCAATAAATATAAAAGGAGAAATAAAAAGCAGAGGGAAAAGTTAGAAAGCAATATATCAAACTTTTGCTCCATATATGCACATATATGTATATTTACACAAATATATGCACATATACATATGTATATGAATACATGCATACATATGTGCATATATTTGTATATGTGTATATATGCATATATGTGTATATACGTATATGTATGTATGTATATATATACACACACAGATATATTAGACTGAAGCTCTAACATATCTATATAATATAAATTAAAAATGTCTAATCAAAATGTTATACTCAAGCCATAACATATCAGTAATTACATTAAATGCTAATGATCTAAATGTTCAATTAAAAGATAGAGATTGTCAGAGTGATAAAAAGCCAAAACCATGGCCCATCTATATGATGTCTATAAGACTTACTTCAAATATAATAATATAGTCAGTTTGAAAGTAAAATGATTGAAAAAATATATACAAACAGTAATCAAAGGAAAGTAAAGGTAGCTATATTAAGAATAGATAAAGTAGACTTCAGATAAAAGG